TTTTTTTTTTTTTTTTTTCCCTGAGAAGGAGTTTCACTCTTGTTTTCCAGGCTGGAGTGCAGTGGCGCGATCTTGGCTCACTGCACCTCCACCTCCCGGGTTCAAGTGATTCTCCTGCCTCAGCCTCCCAAGTAGTTGGGATTATAGTCACGCACCACCATGCCCAGCTAATTTTTTTGTATCTGTAGTAGAGATGGGGTTTCACTGTGTTGGTCAGGCTGGTCTTGAACTCCTGACCTCAGGTGATCCGCCTGCCAAAGTGCTGGAATTACAGGCGTAAGCCACTGCACCCAGCCCGGAGATTTCATTTTAAACTTATCTTTTATACAAAAAAAGTCACTTGTAAGTGACAGATGCCTCCTAAAGCAACATGACATGCAAAGGCTTAGCTTGATGTTTGTTTTCAGTGTGGCTTACAAATGACTGGGGTGATGCGTTGATGCCCACTGTGTGCCAGGCACTGTGCCAGGTGCTTTGTCAACAGTGCTGAATCCTCACAGGGACTCAAAGAGGGGGGTGCTGTGACCTCATTTCACACAGAAGGAAAATGAAGCTTAGTGAGGTGAAGGGAGCGGGTTCATAGATCAGCACCCAGGTGCGAGGTGCTGGAGCAGCTTTGCCTTTTCATCGTTTTAGTGGAGGAGGGAGATCGTCTTGCTCGCTGTGGCCTTGCAGGAACTGGGTGAGTGGATCCAGGCAGGTGCCCAGTGGATCATCACTAAGTGGGTGAATGCACGGTACAGAGAAAAAGCAGAGACTGTCTTTCTGGATCTTAGGACAGAAAGCTCATTTCTTGTGTTGGGAATGTGCCACCTTTTAGGAAGCTGAGGTTAGTTAAACTAATCATTAATGCAGTGAATAAAATCATGACATTTTCCCCATGCAGATAATTTCCTCTTCTTGTGTGCCCTTCCTCCAATGCTTGCACTGTTTATATTTGAGGAGTGACCCGGAAAAGTTTAGACAACAGCAGCGATGACGGAAACAGCACCCAAGTTGCTGCTTTAAAAGGCAGTTCTTTGTAATGTATGGATTTGTGCTGTTGCCCTGGACCTTCTGGTTCCTGGACAGGAATGTGTTCTAGACATACCACCGCCAGAGGATTCCCCTCTTTTTCCCCCCTGAGTTTGAATGGGGAAGTAAAATTTCCCAGAGACTGTGGAGCTATCCATAGCTACTGCTTTCCATTTTGAATTTTTTATTCAGACAATGTGGATTTTGCTCGGTGATGTGTTTTGCATGCACCCTTTCTGTCAGTTTTAGTGGGAGCTGGAAGTCCATTCATCTGGATCAAACTAAGGCTGCCAGTTGGTCTTTCCGCAGTAGCTGAAGCTTGGGAGCAAAATGCATGTGAATAAAAGACATCTCCTGGTCTTGAGGGTGTCACAGAAGATCCATGACATTGACCTTACCTGACTAGTTGATCTTTCTAAGACCAAATCAAAGCTTGATGAATTTAAACCTCCAGATAAAGTGAAGCCCTTAGGTCACACATGATTTCCTTTAACAACCAGTCTGGCCCATCAAGGAGATTTGAGAGAAATACACACGGCCAGTGTATCTTTCAGCAAGACTGTTTTAATCATTTTAAAAGAACTTCTAACTTTCACAAATAATTGTGTTCAGAGACAGATTTTCAATCTAAATGAAAAAGCGAAGACCTAGCTCTCATGGCGGAATGTAGAAACAGAAGCCTCCAGATTGATCTCTGCAGATTCTAACGTGGCCCGCTTTCTCCTCATATTTGGCCTGCTCCCAAAGCCCTTACAACTAAGCCAGTACCTGCTTGGATTCTTCCTGACAACTGGCAAAGATGTCATGTTCCACTTCTTATCTCACCACCTCTTAACCACAGATTGGCCCCAGTGGCTATCAAAAGGGGAAAAAAATTGTCCAAGTTTGAGACTCAGTTTATGTATTCATGACTAAAACCAAGTTTGAGACCTTTGGAACCTTTAGCAGGCCCTGGGGCATGCCTGTGTATCCCTTTGGTCGACCTGGAGGCCAGTGAAGACCTTCAGGGGAGGGAAGAGTGGGTCAAATCAGACGTGTCCATTTCATCACTGTCAGCCGTCAGTGACAGGCTGAATCCGGAGACCCAGGCCACAGTGTGCCAGTAAAAAGTTTATCCAAGGATTCCAATTATGCTTAAAAAACTTCCAGAGGAAGCAAAAAACAATGTTTGTATGTCAAGTAAGAAATGTAATAGAGTAACTCTAATTTGCTAATATAAAATAGCTCTGCCGCTATTCAAAACAGTTGATTTAAAAAGTAGGTATATAGTCGCTCTACTTAAAATTATTTTTAAATTCCTTTAAAAAGCATATGCATCCCAAAAAACAAAAATAAAAAATAAAAATAAAGCATATGCGTCCCTATCTCTTTGGCAAGCACGCAGCGGTGGGGTCACGCCCTGCACCCGCAGCAGCCGGCCTGGGAGGTTCCTCCAGAAGCCTCCGTGAACTTTCGCAAGCCCTCCATGCGGGGCACACACAGGATGCCTGTGCCGGATCGTTTCCCATCAGCTTCCAGCCACCCTGCCCATTTGTAGCTAAAAGCAAGCCAGGGATGCCCATGTCGGATGAAGCTGTTGAGTCTCCACGGAAAGGCAGCGCCGGTGCTCAGGTTTGCTTGGTGCGCTCTCTGCAGAGGTCGAACCCTGCAGGCGGCTCCAGAGTAGGCGCCTCGGGAAACCTCCTGGGGCAGGACCGGGGCTCAGGGGCCAGCGGGCGCGTCATTGGGGCCCAGCAGGAGCTTGGCGCCCTGTTTGTCGATGCTGGAGTTGATGCTGTCTGCGTCCTTCTCCGGCTCGGGGACGCAGGTGCAGCCCACGGGGATGGTGACGTAGGCCTCGGTGTAGACCGAGCGGCCGCCGGCGCAGGCGGAGGTGCGGCGCAGGACGACGGTGGGCATGTAGACCGGGGCGCTGCGGAAGCGCACGTCCTCCTCGCCGAACAGCCCGGTCAGGCAGCCCCGGCACAGGCAGTAAGCTTCGGGCAGGTACCTGGGGTACCTCGCCGGGTCGTAGGAGATTCTGCAGGGAGAAAGCACGGCTGAGGTCACGCCTGGGGGCAGCCCGGCGCCGCGCGCTGAGATCCCTGGTTAGAGGCACCGGGGAAGGCTGCGGGGACGGTCGTGTCCTCCCTCAGCCTGCGGGGCACGTGCGTTCGAGGCCCCGCAGACAGCAGATCCGCTGCGCGCTTCCTTGCGCTTCTTGCCGACCCTGACCCGGACCGGAAAACTGCTTCCAGAGTCTGGGCTAATGTGCTCAGAAAAATCTATGCCACCTGCATGGGTGCCACCAGAACAGAATGAGGTGCCCTGTCTGCCCAGAGCCCCAGAGCCGCCGCCTCCCCACTGCAAGGCTGTGCAGCCCCCAATGGACGCATCCACCTGGGGCCTAGGCTGGGGACAGGTATGAGTTTCAAGGACAGGCTTGGGGCAGGTCTAGAGAAAGAGGGGCTGGAGGCGGACAGAGCTGACTGGGCCGGGAGCCAGAGGCCTGCAGGGATCTCACAGGAGTGAAGGATGAGAGCTCTCTCCATCGCGGAGATTCGGTGCCGAGTGCCAGCTCTCGGCGGCCTGTGAAGCTGGGGCGCTCAGGAAGGCACAGGATTCTCCTCCATTTGTGTCTGAGGGGCTACAGCATGCCTGGGAGGTGACGAGGCTAGAAGCAGTGTGTTCTTGCCACTGGAAATGGATCCAGTGGCACCTACGTGCTAGATCCTAAGGAGGAGGCCTGTGGGGGAGCCTCGTGTGGGAAGAGCCTGAGGCCGTCCTGGGTCCAGGCAGCCCACCAGGCTGCCCTCAGAGGAAACTGGTGACACAGGGCCACACCCAGTCACCCCTTATGCTCCCTGAACCCCAGAGGGGCGTTTCCAAGCACCAGACCACTGTTTGAATGTGGGGGATGAAGTCGGAGGGAAAGTCAGCAATGACTCCAAGGCTTCCAGTCGGGGTGGCCAGAGGATGGGGCAATGCAGAGATCAGGAGCTTGGCCACGTGGCCCTGCTGGCAGTGGAGCCCCCGAGGTGGGAGTCCAGGGTGAAGGCAATGGAGAGGGTGGTGGGGACCGCCTGCAAAATGCACAAGTTGTCTCTGAAGCAAAAACACAAAAAAGCAAAATCTGACTTCATTTATTCATGCTTCCCTCCAACATACACACAAATAAATAGTTGTAGAATTTTTTTATTTTTTACAGTTCTCGTGCCGCGGCACTCCAGCCTGGGTGACAGAGTGAGGCCTGTCACCCAGGCTGGAGTGCAGTGCCACCATCATGGCTCACTGCGGCCTTGACCTGTCTGGTTCAAGTGATCCTCCCACCTCAGCCTCCCGAGCAGCTGCGACTACAGGTGTGCACCACCATGTCCAGCTAATTTTTTTTTTCTATTTTTTTGTATAGAGAGTGCCTCACTGTGTTCCCCAGGCTGGAAAAAAATTCTTTTTCAGCTCCTTGTGGCTGCTATTTCCTCAGTTCTGCGGCTGGGGGCCTCTGAGGCACAATAGCTTTATCCGCACCAGGATGGATGAAGCCATCCTCTCCCTCTGGCATCCCATGCTCCAGGCACCTCCAAGTGGAAGGCCCCTGGTAGGTCCCATGGCCAGGATGCCCCCTTCCCCAAGCCACTGTCAACTCCATGAAGTTTTGCCATATTTTAAGGTCCAATTTATTATCTTAAGAGTTTTCAGATGTCCTCAAGTTGAGCTTCTTCCTTCCCCATGTGCTCATAACCTGTGAAGACACATGATCCTAGTCTGCCCTACTTGGGAAGGGCAGGGACTGAGCTGTGATTGCTCCTGGTGCCCTGATGTGCCTGTCACAACGCGCTCTAGAGGAGGAGCTCTGCAGCCGGGAAGCAGGTGAAGCTGATCCTGGGCTGTACCAGCTCCTGTTCCTATACCCTGAGGTCAGTATAAGACCCTGACTTAATGTTAGAAGGAAAAGGAAATCCTAAATACCCAGGATTTGTAATATCTCCAATCGCTTTCAACATTTATCCCACAAATATCTGAGTGCGGTTTCAGGCAATGGGGCTACAGGCGAAACACGTGTACCTGAGCACTCACTCTCTGGGGATAAAGGCGCTGGTGAACACAGAATGCGCTCATTCCGCCCGTGGCCGCCGAGTAGCTCCTGGGGAATTTATCCAGGTGAAGAAGGGAGAAGGGCATTTCAGTCTGAGGTCAAAGCACAGGGTCAAAGGACTGTCACCACTAGGAAGTACAAGGAGAAAGAGTCCCCCTCAGATGGAATTTTAGAAAAAACCCTCAGACTGTGGAGTGGAAGATGGTCTGGAGCCCCAGGAGGAGCTCCAGAGTTTTACGTTGTCCACTGATAGATGGTGATTAAAAAGATGATCCAGGGGTGGGCACCTGGGAGAGAACAAATAGAGGCAGAGGAGAGCAGGGTGCACCGACTTCCCAGGGAGAAGGCTGATGGTGGTAACTGTGTGCATCCTCAGTCTACGAAAGGCAGAGGATTGAGGGAGCTGGGTCAAACCAGAGCTTGAACTTGATGGAGCCAGGCTACCAGAAATAGGGAGAAATGGCACTATGAGGATGTGACCAGCAAAAGACAGAATGTAGGAAACGTGACATATCCCGTGTGGTTTCGGGAGGAAAACAAGAGGAAGGGAACCTACACATGAGAGTCCCGAGTAGAGGAACACAAACCGGGTGTCCTGGCTGGGCTCACACCTGCCGTCCTGGCTCAGTGACATGAAGCCAGCCGCTTCCACTCCCAGTGTTACCACCTGCACCATCACTTACCAAACACAGCCCACCCAGACTCAGGGACATTCCACAAAAGCAGTGGCCACTAGAGGTTGGATCCTCGGGCAGAAAGGGGTGTTTGTGGGACCCCCTAAAGAAGGCCTGTGGGGCAGATGACAGTGTCGTGTCAGTGTTCATGCCCTGATCTTGAGCACTGTGCTGAGTGATGATGCTGACGTTTGGGGATTCCAGGCAAACAGTATGTGGGAATTCGTCCTAATTTCACAACTGTTGTGTTAGTTTGAAATTATTTAAAATGAAGTGTTAAAAAGAAAATGCAGAGAAAACATTAAGTTTTTAAAATCATTTATGGAAGCCGGGCGTGGTGGCTCACGCCTATAATCCCAGCACTTTAGAAGGCAGGGGCATGCGGATCACGAGGTCAGGTGTTCTCGACCAGCCTGGCCAACATAGTGAAACCCTGTCTCTACTAAAAATACAAAAAAAAAAAAAAAAAAAATTAGCAAGGTGTGGTGGCAGGTGCTTCTAATCCCAGCTACTCAGGAGGCTGAGGCAGGAGAGTCGCTTGAACCCAGGAGGCAGAAGTTGCAGTGAGCCGAGATTGCACCACTGCACTCCAGCCTGGGTGACAGAGCGAGACTCCTTCTCAAAAAATAAACATCATTTATGGGACAATCACAGAAATTTGATTGTGAGTGTGAACGCGTGTGAGCATGTGTGTGAGTGTGGGCAGCTGTGTGTGAGCTTGGGCAGGTGTGTGTGAGCGCAGGCATGTGTGTGAGTGTGGGGATGTGTGTGAGCATGGGCAGGTGTGTAGGGTGTGGGCATCTGTGTGGGTGTGAACACAGGCATGTGAGCATGAGGTATGTGTGAGTGTGGGCAGGTGTGTATGAGTGTGGGCATCTGTGGGTGTGAGTGTGGGCACCTGTGTATGAGGTGTGTGTGTGTGAGCAGGTGTGTGAGAGCACGGGCAGGTGTGTGTGAATGTGGACAGCTGTGGTTGGGTGTGTGGGCAGGTATGTGTTTGGCCAGGTGTGTGTGAGTGCAGGCATGTGTGAGCATGGGCAGGTGTGTATAAGCAAGTGGGCAGGTGTGTGAGCACAGGCAGGTGTGTGGGCAGGTGTGTGGGTGTATGAGTGGGCAGGTGT